CTTTCTATGATCTGCGCCTTTGCCAGGACTGCTGAATATGTCTCGAGCTCCATTACCAGTAAGTGCTGTCTGATCTCCGGGCGGAGACCTCACTGGAATTTTCTGGCCTTTCGGCCCTCATCCATCAATGTCTCCGGGGCATGTCGGCCCAACTCCAGGAACTTACGGGCATACTCCGACACTGTCATGTTTCCCTGGACCAATTGAGCAAACTCCACTTCTTTTAGGTGTTGGATGTGTTTAGGGAGATACTCCGCGTGGAAGGCCGTTAAGAACTACTCCCAAGTAGCTGGTGTAGGCAGGGTGGTCCGCTTGAGCTCTCACCAGCGTACTGCTTCCCCTACCAGCATGTAGGAGGCAATGGCAGCCCTCTGCTCAGGAACTACTCCCAAGGTCTCGAAAGCTCTCTCAGTCTCTGCCAGCCAGTATTGGGCCTCTTCAAAAGAGGATCCCCCTGCAAAAGTAGAAGGGTTCAGTCTTCTGTACCTCTCTATGAAGCCGGGGTCGATCAAGGAAGGTGCGGGGTCCCGAGGTAGAGGGACTGGGGCCGACTGAGGGTGAACTAGGGGACCCTGTGGTGGCACCTGCTGATGTGGTGGGGGACTGGAATGTGCTGTGGCGGTGCCTGGTGGTACCGTGGCTGTGGTACCGGGTCGTATGCGGCTGTGGTGCCGGGTGGTACTGTGGAGGAGCAGGCTCCTGCCGGGGTGGCTCGGGATCAGCCTGCTGTAGCGGGGGCTCAACCTGCGATAGTAGAGGAGGTCCGGGTAACTCCCTTCTCTCCTCTCGCCTTTGCTGGGCAGCTACGAGAGCTTCTACCATCTCAAATAGTCTGTCTAAATCCTCCCGAAGCGAATTATCTTGGGCCGCTCGGTTTAGTGGGGGCCTTCCTCTCCTCATTTCCGTGTACCTGCATTCACAAGGAATGGTTGAGTAACGATCTATCGGTGAGTATTTCTCTAAGGCTCTATCGTGTAAGGGATGGGTCCGAGGAATGCGGCTCTGATACCAACTGTAACGGCCCCAGAATTTTGAAATGAAATATGTGTATTAAAAAGGTCAAATGCGGAAGCGGAATAAAAATTTGATTAACATCCCTTACACTAAAACCAAAAACGTGCTCAAAATATAAAAGAACAAACTAACTAAAAGAGAAACTCGAAAATAAAAGCTATAAATAAATATAACTACGGAGTCTTCAGGCGTCCCCTTCGCCGTCTTCCTGCGGAACGAGCTCGGAAACAATGTCTTCCTGATCTGAAATGATTAAATAAGGAATGAGCTACACCAGCCTAGTAAAGACATCACACTATCTCACCGTCACGGAGGTAAAGGTGGGTAGAAAACACAAAAAGACCAATAGAGCATAATTTACAACAACTTCTTTTATCAATAATAAAATCCTTTACTATCCACTTACCTCGGTGAAATTCATAAAACAATACACGAAAGCAGTAACATTATCATTGTCATGAAATCATATGAGCTGTATAACATAATACTTATCACACCTTTGCAATTCAATCATTACACAACATATTTTTCCTCATTTTCCAGCCTACTAGTATCCATGGGGATCCATAGGGGTCCCGCTACCCGTGAACTCTTAACACTTGCAATCAGATTCCAGGGCTGTCCCCATACCCCGTCCGGTATGGGCGCCAAAACTATAAACCTCAATACCCCGTCCGGTATGAGGGTGAAACGGGCCGTCCCCATACCCTGTCCGATATGGGCGCCAAAACACATAAGGTCTCCATACCCTGTCCGGTATGAGAGACCACTATCCCGATAGGGTTCCCTACGGACCCGGTCCGTCCACCATCTCCCAGGATATCTAGTCAGGTTGACCACATTATACAATTATCAATTTACATAGCCTTTCATTCCCCTTTTCCTCAGTCAGCATCATCAATTCACACACAAACAAGCAAACTAGTAATTTATGCCAAATAAGACAACATACAACATCGGGTTCTCAGTCATTCAACCCATAATCAATAAAACAGTGATATATGCACACGAAACTATGAAATGAAAATATCAGACCTCATACTGCATTTAAAACCGTAAAATAGGCCAAACAACAGCTAACAGACAAACAAACCAGACTCGGGCTCCATTAGCGACCTTAAACAATTTCACACATCTGTTGATTCATGAAATACCGTTTTATCATTTATTGAACTTTAATACCGTGATAGGAAATAGGGTGAGGGGTCCTTACTTGTTTCGGGGTCCGAATACGGCTCTACAGTGCGCCAGCAGGGTGTACCTAATTTTCCTGAATTTTTTCTGGGGAATTGAAGCGCATTACTGGTACCTGCACGTATCCCAAAAAATCCCAAATTAGACTCAGGGCTCCTTTCGGCCAATATCGCAATTTCGGCACGGCGGCTCCGCCGTGCTCCGGCGAGTGGCGGCGATTCACCTCGGGTTGGCCATTTTCGGCCGTTTCCGGCGGAATTCGGCCACACTTGCATCGGTCCCTGTGATAAAACAACCCTAGGGCCTTCGGGGGGCAAAAAAATTACGAAAAACCGAAGCTTACCGACGGCGGTGCTCTCGGGTGCGGCGGTTCTCCGGCGAGGTTCGTGTTTTGGTGATTTGGCTTCGATCAACCTGTAGAGAAAAGAATGGTGATCACGGTGATATAAAAATTGTATCAAACGGAGGCCGGGAAGGGCCTCATCGGAGGCAAAAACCGAGGAGGAGCGCGGCGGCGCCGCTGGGTTTCGGCCGTGTTTTCCGGCCATTTGGCCGGGATTTTGGCTCCGATTTGGCCACAGGGAAACTCAGTATTGAAAAACGAGTTGGGGGTATGAAATTTACCTCGATCGGCGGTCGGAAAACTCCCCGGTGCAGCGGCGGGTGGCGGCGACCGGCTCCTCCGGTGTCTGGTTCGTCTTCTCCGGCGAGGGCAGGTGGCTAGGGTTTTTGTGGTCAGGTGTGGGGGTTCTATTTATACCCTTTTGCTTTTTGATCACAGCCGTCTATTTTGATTAAATCTGGGCCGTCCGTGCGCGATTAAATCTGGACCGTCCGTGCGCGTGCATCTGGGCCATCCGTGCGCTTGCATCTGGGCCGTCCGTGCGCACGCTTAATCTGGGCCGTCCGTGCACGCGGGGACGCATCTGGGCCGTCCGATCGCGCGCACGCGGATCGCCCACGTGGCCCGTTCCCGGGTCGACGTGGTCTTGCCACGCGGCAAGTCCTGGTTGGCCAGGGCTGCTGACTGGGCCGCTGATGTGGCTACTGACGTGGCGCTGACGGGGCATAATTTTTCTAAATTGCGTTTTGACCCCCGGTTTCCGATTTTCTTTTCAAAAATACCCTCAGAATCCTAATTTTCACCCCTTTTTCCCAAAATCAATTTTAATTAAATCGAAATAATATTTTTACCTAATTTTACAATTATTGTTATTTTTATTTTTATTAAATTAAATTAAAATAAACTAAATAAAATAAAACAAATAAAAATAAAATTAATAATAATCATAATAAAATTTTAAAATTATTGGGCGTTACAGTTTGGTTGTACAGGTCCGGCCGAATAAGTTCACAGTGACTTTTCAATTTCTTCTAACTTTCTCTCACTAACCCGCGTTCAAATCCGAGCTCTGATATCATTTGTTGGTGAAAATTAATCCCTGAAACATGCACAATTACACCAAAGTAAAAAGTATGAAAAAGAACGCAAGTATTTTTCGTGGTTCAGTAATGTGCTTACATCTACGGATAAGACCAACAAAAAAAAAATCTACTATGTAATGTGAGAGTACATCACCAATAAGTTGACAAACCTATTTATAGATAGATTAGTAGAGTTCTTCACAAATAAAAACTTTATAAGATATACATTAACTATTTTTCATGATGAATACAAAAAAAAATTCAAATAAATTATTCATAAAATACAGATAAATATCGTCAAAATTCAAGACACATCAACATAACCCAGAGTGATATATATATATATATACACACATTAACGTCGTCTTTTGTTTCTAGCAATAAAGAAGTAATTATATTGAATTTTGTTTTTCAACTTTACTTGAACATCTAACATGTAATTGCCTAAACAATAGTTAGAGTGTTTGATTTTAAATTTATTTTATTTTTATTTAACTCTTAGATTTTAGGTTAGTACATTAATTGACGTTAGTGAAAATTTAGATATTTGATGCATAATCAAATTAAATTTTTTAATATCTTATTAATTTAATAATTAAGGGTTTATATTTCACAAACTTATTTTTAAAATTTCCTAATTTGAACGTAAAAGGAAAAGGAAAGGAGGCATCAAGTTAATGGGTTAATATTCCAAACTCCCGTCCATTTTCAGGTGCAATGTAAGACAACTTGTGCAGCCCAAGAAATTTGATCCATAAAAAAGTATTCTTTTTGTATAAATAAATTAGAGGTTAACTAAGTTTTTTAAGACCGGTGTTACTATTTAATTAAGAAAATTTAATTATTATAAAATATTATTTTTATATAAAAATATAATAAATTTATTAAAATTTATTTTAATTTAGTCAATGCAACTTCACCAACATATTAATAAATTAAATATGTAATTCCAATCACTTACAAAATAATAAAATTTATATTTATAGTAAAATTTGAACTCTTAACTTATAAATAATATACAAAAATCTCAATTAGTTGTAGGTATCAAAATTAGACCATACCATTATTAGAAATAACATTATCGGACATTATTAGCTGGTAATTTGGAAATTTGTTCATATTCTTAACACTCTTTAACTTAAGAAGCCACAAAATTAGTAAAAAGGTAATTATTTAAAAAACAATAATTTCCATAAAATTCATTTATAAAATTTGCATTAATTTTAGTATAAAAAAAGTTGCAATTATTTAGAAAACTATAAAATCAACATTATATAAAAAATTTTAATGTAAAATTCAAATAATATACTATAAATTCTACCAAATGAGATAACATAAAACAGAGCAAGTAGAAGAAATTCACTCTTTCAAAATTAATACAATTACAAATTGATGAGATTTTTCTCATCTTATTACACCAATCCAAATCGACATATATATCAATAAACATAGATCAACCAAAAAATAAAAAATAAAGGAAAAAGAAAAACCCAATTACAAATTGCATGGAACATAAAACCTCAATTAATTATAGATTATTTTAAGTTATTAGGCTCATCATTTGTTGGGTGTTTTTATGAAACCCACATGTGATGAGTTAGAAACCTTTGTAAGGGTTAGCAGATCATTAGCAGTCCAGCATCTTGAATCTTCTCTGTGGTAGAAATACCCTAAACACTTGCAGTCTCTGCTACATTTCTTCTCACAATCAGCCTCCTTGATTCTATCTCCCTTGTTGAATTTGCTCATGAAATGGTCAACTCCTTCAATTTTATAGTAATGGAAATCACTCGGTCTGCAATAAGTCAACTTCTTGGCCTCACAGCTCTTGCTCCAACCCAGTAACCCATTGGGCGACGGACAGGCGACGCACTGGCTGTCCTCACAGACTCCGAAACTCCCACATCGTTCAGGTAATTGACACTCGGTGTCCCAGAGGAAAGAAGGCTCTCTTTTGAACATCGTGAAGGTTTCTTCGCAGGCGCCATTGTCGACCTTGTCGTAGAAAGTGAAGAGCTTTACATTCCCGTCAATCCCAAGTCTGAGGAATGTAAGTGTGCTGTTGTACTTGGGTCTGGCTAAAATAACACCGCCGCCGAAGTCTGTGTTGGATTCTTTCAAATCGAAGTTTAAAACCCAAGCGAAATTCTCATCTGTTTCTGGCGAGCTGGTGAGTGTTGCGTTTGCCAAGATGCCATTTTTAGAAGCAGAGATGAAAGATGATGTGAAATAGACGAGAGATTTAGCAGAGTTTGGACTCTTGAAATACAGAGCTACTCTTTTGGGTTCCAACACTAAACTATACGCTCCATTGGCGTTGACTTTTTCTGATGCGCGGCTGACCAATTTTGTGACACCACCGACACGAAGAGATTGACCCACTAAGAGAGTATCAGTTGGGGAATCAAAGCTCTGCCAAATGAAATTACCCTTTGAGTCGTGGAGCACCATGTTGCCATTTGAGAGCAGTTTGAAACCCACAACACCTTTGTTGGCTGTGTTGGTTTGCCAGGCGATTGTGCCGTCGGCGTCGGCGAGGACGAGGTTACCGTCGGTGCCGAGAGAGAAGGTGGCGTTTTCGCCGACGGGTCGGCCTCTGTTGGCTTCCCAAACCCAACGGAACAAGGATTCTGATCGGGTGGTGGCCATTCGAAGAGCGAGAGTGTAGGCATTGGGAGTGGTGTTGTAAAAAGCGAGTTGGAACGGTGAGTTGAAAATGCTTAGAACTCGGTAGTTTCCATCGTATTCGACAATGAAAGGCCCGAATTCTCCTTCGTTGACAAATCTGAAAGTTTCAGAAGGAGGAACAGCGGATTGAGCAATGCAAGAAAAGGCTGCTACAAGAAAAACAAAAAGAAACGAGGGAGCCAAGGAAGAAGAAGAAGAAGCCATGTTTGGGCGAGGATAGGAAATGCAAGAAGCAGAGAGGAGTGGATTGTTGGGAAAATGGAGTTGCAGCCATATTTGTAGAGGCCAGATCCTGATGTTTCAATAAATTATTTGTTATGTTCTATAATGTGATACAAAATTGACCTGATCTGATTTGGTCAAATTTATCAGATAACGTGTTTTTGTTGTTTCTTGAAATGTAAAGTGTTTCGTGTGATGGGGTTCTTTGTGTTCTAATAATTTAAATTAGTCTGGAGCCTTGGCTCTAAATATTTTTGTAATTATTTTATAGAAAACGGATTTCTTATGCTCAAAATCTAGAGGAGTGATATTAAAAATAATTATTTATTATTTTAATTGTTTAAATAAATTTTTTAGTAAAAATAAATAATTAAACTACTTTAACCTGTAATTTAATTATAGATCTATAATTAAATTATTATGTTAAAAAGATAATCAGCCCAATTATAATTATCAAACCTATATTTGCACCATTAATTATAAAAGTATCCAAAGTCTAAATAATTTATTATGTGCAAACATATTTGTTTAATTATTGATATTTTGTCAATATGTAGACTTTTCTTTCACTATAACCATAATAATATTATAATGTAATATAATATATGAAAATATATAAATAATCACAAAGATAAAAAATAATATTACAAATAAAATAAGAAATAGATAACATAGTAGATTTCAAATTTGATTTGACTTTTTAATACATATTAGAGTTAATTAAATGAGAATTCTATTTTGGTTTACAATTTTCATTGTATTATTTTTAATTTAGAAAGTATTTTAGAAAAATAGGAAGAGAGGCAAAATACTATTTAAAATCGAGAATAATATCAACGAATTGAGTCATATTAATCCTAAATTATAAAGTGATAAAATAATTACAAATTCTTATAAGTGACATCGTTATTAAGGTTCCTTCCTCTAAGATCTCTCATAAGAGAATCAAATTAATTTTACAAATAATTTGATGCACTATCTAAATTTAATTTTTTAAATAAAAAAGTAAAAATAAAAAAAAATAAAAATTTACGGATCGACCCAATTGTTTTTATTTTGTAGAAACTTTAAAATCATTCTAATGATCAGAATTCAAACTATATTCAATGAGTTATTTTTATCGCAATTTTAATATTTTTTAAAAATTTATTTTTGTATTAAAATACTTTTTTAAAAAATATAAATTTAACAAGTGATATTTGGTGATGATCATTTATATATATAGTAGAATGAGAATAAAAAATACCTCTTTGACTATCAATTAGATTAAACTCTTTACGCATAAGATTGAGTATTATTGAAGATGATGCATAATCAAATGTGATTTATTTTGTAGGTATATATATATATATTTATATATTTTTCTCATAGAATTATAAAAATAATTCATTCCCTTATCCTTTTATACACCATCATTATAATATCCAAATATGTTTGACCCTACCATTATCCAGAGTAGGTGTATGCTCTAAATTCGTCACTTGCTTTATTTTTGGGATAGCTTTAATAATTTTCTAATATTATTTCATCCATTCTATAATCATACTTTAATGATTTTATTACTTGATATAATCCAAGAGTTAAAAGGGTTTTTTTAAGATGTTCATACAAATATTCATACACCTTTAACTTTATATATATATATATATATATGTATTGAGAACTATATTACACACAGGTACAAGATGCACCGACCAATCAAATGTTTTTTCATTTGTCATATTTTATGTTTTTTTTCTCTTACATACATATTGTTTATAAAACTTCCCACTATATACGTTTTAAGTGGTTAATTTTATATTATGATATGTATATTTAATGTTTAATTAGTTTATGTTTAAATGATAAAAAGTTATATGTATATATATATATATATATTCGAGTTAGGGAATATAATTGATTAAGGTTTATATAACAGCTCTTATTCATGTATTACAGCTCTTGTTCATGGCAGCCGGTTCACCGTTAATAAAAAGAGTCTCTCTTGGGGGCTATATATATATATACATACATAGGACATATAACAAATGAGTGAGTTGGTTTCCAGCACTTTACAGCTTCCTCCTACCATCATGTAAAGCTTTAGCAAATGCTCTCGCCCGCTTCAGGAGACTTCAAATATATTCTTTACTTAGATAATTGATATATATATATATATATATATTTATGAAATGTCATATATATTTTTTTCTGTATTATTATTAGAAAATTATATTATTATTGATATGCATATATTATTTAATTAATAAATTGAATGAATTTTTATTAAAAAAAAAATCACGCTCTACGTTTGCAAAAATGCTTAAAAAAAGAATCTATTTGTTTGAAATTTGTGAAAATTTTGTAATAATAATAATTTTATGTTGAGTATGGATTAAATTTTAAATATACATATGAAATCAGAATAAAAATATAATACACATACAATAGAAATATAAAGGAAATAACAACTATTTTTTTTTTGTCTAATTCAAATTATATATTTTCATAATTCTTTACTTAACATGTAAAAATATAAAACTTACAAATATGTAAATAAAGATAAGAACAATTTGATTATTTTCGGAATAAGTAAAATTTGAGAATTGGAAGAGAATAAAATACATTTTTATTAAAAGATAGTGTTAAAATGAATTTGGTAAAAATTTTGGATGTAATAAAATATTATTACCATACTCATGTATATATATATGTATATATATGTTCATGCACTTTATATACTATGGCACATTGACATGAGATAAAACAAAAAGAAGAGAAAAAGTCTTCCGAGGCCCCACAACATCTTTCATTGTCAATCACAAACAACAAAGATTTATAAGACAAACAACATTTCCTGTGATTATATTTTATATTATGAAATTAAATAAGAATAAAATAAATATAAATCAAACATTATTTTTTTAAAATGTTACTTCAAGGTCTCAATTAAAAAAATTTAATCACTACCTAACATTCTTTTTGTTTAAAAATATAATAAGTTTATTAAAATTTAATAAGACTTGGTCACGTAACCCATCAATACATTGATGAGTTAAATTATCAGATTTACTTAATTAAATATTATATGTTGTCAACTGCCAATACATGATACATTCACTATTAGAGGAGTTAATTTAATTATGTAATTATCATCAATTAAAGTAAATCTCACAAATTAGATGATTGGTAACCAATCAAATTAAATCCCACAAATTAAGTGATTTGTAATCAATCAAATTAAATTTCATAAATCAGGTAATTGATTAAAATTAGAATATTTGATTGACCGTTAATTATATTTAATTAAAATTAAGCTATTATTTTCAATTTCATATAGTATCAGAGCTACTATGCTCCTGACATGTTTCTTCTATTCTTTTTTTTTTCACAATTCTCCAAATTCTTTTTTAACCATAATAGCTTCCAAAAACATTTCTGCATCTTTAACTGCTCATACCATTATTCAAAATACCCAATCATCATTGGCAACACTTTCATATGCTCCATATCTTGCTTTTTTATGGCTATCGCGTGCACATTTTGTATCTCTTGAGACCAACGACACCCCCCACATGGATACTTGATAGTGGGGTACCACATCATGTTACTGTAGACTTGAATAATCTTTCATTTCAACCTCCTTATGCAAGGTCCTATGATGTTATGATCAGTGATGACTCGAGTCTTCATATTATCCATACATGTTTTACCACTCTTTTTGCCCCTACTCGTATATTTAATTTACACAATTCCTTTGCATACTAACATGAAAAATGACCTTATTTGTAACACCCAAGTGAAATAAAATTATATTTTATTATTTTTATTTTTTATTTATTTGATTTTTATGTAATTTATTTTAATTTAATGAAAAATAAAAATAATAATAATGATAAAATTGGGTAAAATATTATTTGAATTTAATTAAAATTGATTTTGGAAAAAAGGGGTGAAAATTTAGATTCTGAGGGTGTTTTTGAAAAGAAAATCGGAAACCGGGGGTCAAAACGCAATTTAAAAAAATTGTGCCACGTCAGCGGCCCGATCAACAGTCCCGGCCAACCAGGACGCGCCGCGTGGCAAGGAAACGCTGAACAGGGGACGGGCCACGTGGGCGATCCGCGTGCGCGTGATCGGACGGCCCAGATTCGTTCCCGCGCGAAACCGGGGGTCAAAACGCAATTTAAAAAAATTGTGCCACGTCAGCGGCCCGGTCAACAGTCCCGGACAACCAGGACGCGCCGCGTGGCAAGGAAACGCTGAACAGGGGACGGGCCACGTGGGCGATCCGCGTGAGCGTGATCGGACGACCTAGATTCGTTCCCGCGCGTACGGACGGCCCATATCAAATGTGCGCACGGACGGCCCAGATTGCATCGCGATGGACGGCCCATATTTAATCCTAATTAAATCGCGATCGAACGGTCCATATTTAATCTTGATGGACGGTTGAGATTAAAAGGCAAAGGGTATAAATAACCCCACCTACACCTGACTACAAAAACCCTAGCCGCCAGTGCCTCGCTAGAGAAGAAGAACCAGACGGCGGAGGAGCCGGCCGTCGCCACCTGCCGCCGCACCGGGGAAGTTTCTGACTGCCGATCGAGGTAAATTTTCTCTCCCTTGCTCGTTTTTCGATGCTGAGTCCGCCTATGACCAAATCGGAGCCAAACCACTGGCCAAACGGCCGAAAAACCCAGCCGAAGCCCAGCGGCGCCGCCGCGCCCCTCCTCGATTTTTGCCTCCGATGAGGCCCTTCCCGGCCTCCGTTCGATGCAATTTTTATGCCACTGTGATCACCGCTCTTTTCTCTACAGGTTGATCGGAGCCAAACATCAAAACGCAACTCACGCCGGAGGAGCCGCCACACCCGAGAGCACCGCCGTCGGTAAGTTTTAGTTTTTCGTGATTTTCTGGCCCACCGAGGGCCCTAGGGTTGTTTTATCGCAGGGACCGATGCAAGTGTGACCGAATTTGGCTGAAAACGGCCAACCCGAGGCGAATCACCGTTGCAAGCGGCGGCACCGTCGTCGGAGCACGGCGGAGCCGCCGTG